GACGCGGCGTGAGTTGGGGTCGGTGGTCCTGGCCTACGTCTCGTCACCGGCGCACCTTTCCTGGCCCTTGTGTATGTTCGTAAAAGCTTATTCCTCCCTGACACAGGTTTTTTCGTTCAGCCACGGAGAAGATGAAACATTGACCTCTTGTTTTACAGTTAAACTTCGGTGTAAATGTCAACTGGAATAGTAGAGCGCAGTCGAAATGCTTTTTTTCCCGAAGTTACTACATGCAAACTTTTATAAATATGTCTTTTAGTTAGACACAATATTTTAAGATTTTAAGGAAAAAAAGCCGCCGTCCTCCAGCCTGTACTCTCCTGTGTGCCCTCTAAAAATTGGAAGGCCCCTTACATCTTTTAGGGAGGCTGAAGGTAACAGGTGTAATCTGCTAATCTTGAGTTTAATTCTCCTACAGTTTACCACGTAGTCCACAATGCTCACTTAGTGTCTTTTTCTCTCTTTTATTTTTTTTGTAGATGGTGGTATGCTTTGAACCTAACAAATCCATGTGAAGATTGTTTTTAAGCCAGAAATGTGATAGAATTACATTGAGTTGTGTCTTCATGTATTTATATATATGTTGCAGTTCTGGGTGATCAAACCTAGGGCCTCACATGCCAGGCAAGCATTCTACCAGTGAATTATGTCCCACCTTTTTGTAAATTAGGTTTTGGGATAGGTTCTTCTGAAATTGATTAGATTGTCCTGGAACTTGGGATGATCCTGCCTCAACCCACATATTTGGGATTATAGGCATGTGCACCATGCCCATCTGGATGTGCATTTATGTCTGCAGTTTTCTGTTGAACATGGCATTAGACATCTCATTTAAGTAAAAAAGTGCAAAGTCCACACCCCTGGAAAACTATTCAAGGTTGATTGGGAGACCTCCTTCACTGATGATTCATTAACAATTTTGTTAATGAATTGAGACTTTACAGCTGTGTTAAAGCCTACAGCCTCTCCAGAGGCAGTCAGTGAAGATTTAAGTCTGGAATGGCACCAGGTGCAGAAGAGCCCCTCCAAATAATCACCAGGTGGAAGTAAATTTTTATGTTGCTTTTACCTGCTTCGACATCCTTCATATTTCCTTGTGAGTAGATACACAATGGAGTGAAAGATGAAGAGAATGAAGATTACTTGTACCACTTTGGGGGTACTTCATCCTGGGTATCTTTTTTATATGTGTGCACACATTTAGGGAGATGAAATAACTTGAGTAATCTGCTTTCCACTGATACAGCAAACATCACAGGCTTTCAGTATTCATACTGAATAACTGGGGTGCTTATGAAACTTATAGGGGCCCCTGTCCAGCCGTTAATTTAGTTACAAATCTCTCAACACTACATTTGGGCAATTCTTTCTTATTTATTTATTGGTACTGTGGATTGAACTCAGGGGTACTAAACTACTGAGCCACATCCACAGCCCTTTTTTGGAAATTTAGAGAGAATCTCACTGAGTTGCTTAGGACCTCACTAAGTTGCTGAGGCTGGTTTTGAACTTTTGATCCTCTTGCTTCAGCCTCCCAAGCTGCTGGGATTACAGGACACAGTGCCACCACGGCTTTTTTTTTTTTTTCCCCTTCCTTAACTGCATTGAATTCGGGGTGTTCTAGCACTGACACAGGGTCTAATTAAGTTGCTAAAGTTCATTTCAAACTTGTGGTCCACGTGCCTCAGCCTCCTATACTGAATCACTGGGATCAGAGGCATATGCCACCATACCTGGCTTTTTGTTAGAAGCTAGAAGAGCTTATGAAAAGTTGTCTGGTGATTGAATCCAAGGGTGCTTTACCACTGAATATCCCCCTGCCTGCCACCCCCCCCTTTTTTTTTTTTAACATTTGAGGCAGGGTCCTACTATCTTGCGAGGCTAGCCTAGAATTTTCAGTCCCTTGTTTTAGTCTCAAGAGATTGTTTTGAGGTGAGATTTTGCTGCATTGCCCAGGCTAGTCTCAAACTCCTGGGTTTAAGCCATTCTATCACTTAAGCTTCCTGAGTTCTGGCAGTACAGGTGTGTGCTAACATCATTAGTAGGAAGTCCCATTTCAGAAAGATTGTAAATAAAAATAAATCTTCAACTTTGAGTGGGCTGGGGATGTGGCTCAGTGGTAGAGTACTTGTCTAGCAAGCATGAGGTCCTGGGTTCAGTTGTCAGTATTGAAAAAAAAAAAACTGGGGATGTGGCTTAGTGTCTCTGGGTTCAATCCCCAATACTAAGAGAAAAATTCAATTAGTGCAGAATATTAGAAAAATACTGCAGGCCAAGTTTGTTAATTTGAGTATTTCCTTAGGATTCTGTACTGAAAGAAAATTTGGGTGCCAATTGCCGGGTTTCTGTTCTCGCGACTAAAAGGCTCAGGGGTCACTCTAGTTAAACTGGGCTAACTGGGCTGCATGAAATAACCACACAAGCGACACAAATACCTTTTTCTTTGGGGTTGCTGTGATGGCTCCTCTGACCTTAAGGGTCCGCAAGAAGAAAGAGCAAGAGCACCCACTGACCCCTTTTATTGAGGAGAAGCTATTCAAATGAGGCAGGGGATCAGGTTTCAGGGGGCTGAGTCTATCTTCATGATGTCCACTGTCAGCAGTTGGCTGACACCTGGGTAGGCCACACCCAAGGGCACAGTAAGAGGAGGGGACACACACAAGGCACTTCCATGGAAGATTCTATCCTAAACGGTGCAAGGGGTTATATTACAAAGGAACAGGTGAGCCTAGCTTCACCCATGGGGCTGTAGCAAGACACACACATTTTTGTGACTGAGCGCCTCAGCACCCAGCTGGGGAGTGTAACTCAGTCACCCATAAGGTTGGCCTCCCACACTGTACAATGTTCATTTTAGCTTTGTGATAATGATAAAAGTTTTCCTTAATTGAACATTTTTTTTCACAATAGCTTCTCTTGGGTGTATACTGGGATCAAACCTAGGGTCTCATGTATGCTAGGCAAGCAGTCTACCACTGGGTTATATCCCCAGCCTTACAGTGACTTTTTTTCTTTGCACTGGGAATAGAACTCAGCCTCCTCACACTTGATAGGCAAGTACTCTATCCCTGAGCTACATCCCCCACTCCTTTATGATATTTTTTTTCTTTTTTTGCAGTACTAAAGAGTAAACTAGCCGGGCCCTGTGGTGCATACCTATAATCCCATTGGCTTTGGAGGCTGAGGCATGAGGATCGGGAGTTCAAAGCCAGCTTCAGCAACAGCAAGGCGCTAAGCAACTCCGACCCTGTGTCTAAATAAAATACAAGATAGGGTTGGGGATGTGGCTCAGTGGTTGAGTGCCCCTGAGTTCAATCCCCAGTAACCCTCCTAACTCCCCCC